GCCTGCCTCTCCCATCTGTCTATCTGGCTGGCAGGGAAGGAAAGAACTTGCATGTTGGTGAAGGAAGAAGTGGGGTGGAGGAAGTGGGGTGGGACAAAAGTGAAATCTAGATTAAAACCAAGCTGGCCCAAGGTATCCTTCAGGCTGTAATGCAGTTTAATCAGAGTGCCATTTTTTTTTGTTCAAATGATTTTAATTATTGGAATGCACAATTTTTTAAATATGCAAATAAAAAGTTTAAAAACTTAAAAAAATTAAAAGGTCTGTGTTTAATTTCAGTATATTAACTCGATTTCATATCAGCATTCTAGTTTCACACTTTTCATTTGTACTTGAACAGTGACTTTTCTGGGGTTTACTTGACTGTTGTTTGTCAAATTAACCAAGCTTTCAGGAAAGTCTTAAAACACCGAGGTTGGGGGGCTTCAGAAGATGCTTGTTGACTTACTGGACAAAGAAGACAGTGAAGATTTTATATGTAATCTCTAAGACTCATCTGTCTTACACATAAGCATTCTAGGCCAGCTTGACTCTAAGGCCGATTTTCTATCATGTGGCATCATTTGGAGTTTATAAATGGAATTTCTTTTACTGTGCATATGCTCATATTCATTCCTTAGGAGATCCACTAATCCAGTGAAAACTAGTAGTCAGAAATGAAGGCTGTAAGCAATAAAAATGCTCATGTTTCTGAGCTCTAGAACATCATCTATCTTACTAAGTCATACTGTGAAATGGATAATGTACTTTGAGATGATTTTCATTACTTTTACCTAGGATCTTTCTTTTTGATCTGTTTTTGAATACCAGCCTTGTAAAAGTCTTTTTCTTCCCTAGCTTATTAGACGTATGGTGAATATTAGAGTTATGAGTATATTTATGTTACATTTTAGTAAAGTTCCTGGGAAAGAAGGAAGAAAATCTTTGTAAATACATTTCTGTAATAAGACTAACATTTTGAAATACTTCCATTTAGCTTGGCCTCTTTGTAGTAAAGTTTTCTGCAGTATAATTGTTTGGACTGCATACAGGGGAATGATGGTGATTCAAAGTATGTAGTACATACAGCTTTACCTCAGCCCTTTGGGAGAACAGAGAACCCTTTCCATTGACGATCAACACCGTCTGGCTTAAGAGCCAAAGGGAGTTTCAAATGGAAGGTATGCACCTGAAGCAGCAGAACAGTTATTTTTTCAATCTTCCCCTTATCTTCCAACCCAAATACAGAGCATTTATTTTAAAAAAGACACACATAGGAAGAATTCACGGGCTTAGTATGTAAGCATTCAAACTGCCATGACATTGATGGCCAAACTTAGTTTCACATAAGCCAGAGCTGAGACAGAGTAACAGACATTTACATCTGCTGACAGATATATTTCTACTCTCCATATGCACATTCCACTCATATTTATATCATTCATTCATTCAATCACCTTCCATTAGTCATTTCATGACTATTGATGGAGGCTCTACTGCATATGCATCATAACATAACAAAATATATAGCTAAAGTTATATGTATTTTAGTAAGATTCATGGAAACTGAAAATGTATATAGGAGAGGGAAGCAGAGCAGGGTAGGAGATAAATAACATAAAGACGGAAGTATATTTCTTCTTTGACACTATTTTCATAAGGGGCAAAGACCCTTTGGTGTGTGTCTGTTGAATGTGTGACGGAAGTCTTCGTTCAACAGCATCTATCAAGAACTGCCACATCTCATATACTGTGTGGAATGCTTATACCAAAAAGGAGGCGCTGTCTCTGCCTCTCAGGATCTTCCATTCAATAGTCTGGCTAGGTGCACGTGATATGCATACATAGAACAATTAATACAAGGTGGATGACTATACTCCACATTGAAGGGTAGAGATGACAACTACAAAATGAACTGTAAATTTTATAGGTTTCCTGATGTGGTCAAAGAGGATCCTCTGAAAGTTGATGCTTAGTCTTCCTACCTCCCATTTTGCTGGGAAGTATGTACTCTGGGAAGTAAGGATGACAAGAGGCACACAGGTGCATGCATTCACCTTTTGGCCCTTCTCATCTCCCACCCCTATGAACTTTGTTCCTTGAAGAGAGAAACAAGCTAATTATTAAGAGTTAGTGTAATGTTTGATCATCTTTGCTATCTGTCATAGCAGATACATAAACTGATATTCCTGCTATCATGGTGAATAGCCCTATTCTTTAAGGTTGCAAGATGGAAGATTACTGACATACTTAGTAGGAATTTAAATTAGATAAAATACATATGTATATATGGTTACATGAAAACTTTTAATAAGAACTAAGAGCTGGAAAAAAAGCCCAAAAACTGTGGTGTTCCTTGCCTCCTCTGCTGCCCAAGTAACAAAAAAAATGAAAACAATACTAAACCATGGATGTGTGAGGAGAAGTAAAGATATAATTTTTTCCAATCATGACTACTTAGAATTCATTTGAGATTACTAGGATTTCTTAACATTTTAATGATAGAATCTAAAATATTTTCTCTTATGTTTCCTGGTATGTCTTGTGTGCTAATAATGGGTAACGTGACACCATTTTTGCATCAGAGTCTAAGATGGGGCTCTTTGTCTCTTCCACCCTTTACTAACAAATTTGCTATCTGAATGTCCTGCTGTGAATTCAAGTTCTATTTTCATTCTACTTCCCCAAATTCTGTTGCTAGCATAGAGGATCTCTAATAACATACTAACCAGTTTTATTTTAGGGCAATTATTTCTTTTCAGTATTCTGAGGTCTATTTAAATTCTCCCAAATGTAACACAGGAGTAAGGAATATGTATTTTCTCTCTAGGTTCTCCTTGGTTCATTTTCATTTTATCGAATGCCAAAAGGAGCTTATAGTGAAGAATACTTAGAAAATATCTAAATGATTCTGAGTAAACTGTTTCAAATAAGGCCATGACTCTTTATTTAAATTACACATCAAAAAAAGAAAAAAATAAAGATTTGTCTTGAAAAAAAATTATACAAAAGACAATGTTGTGCTTACTGTCTATTACTTGTTTACTGAACTTAATAAAGCAAGGAATGGTAGCTCAGCAATTGCTGAAATAATTAGTTGTCAATATATAATAAAGTCAAATGATAAACCCTAACCCAAATCATTTATTTTCTTACTCTCCAAGGTTAAGGATTACATTTAATGTTACTAAAAATTATGGAATACGTAAAATAAAAAAGTCTTAAAATTTAAATATTACATTACTTCACATAAAATACATTTAATAAGAAATATTTTAATTAATAATTCAATACTTTTTTCTACTTAAGATTTATCCTTCCCTAATATCTAAGGTATTACATATAATAATTTTTGAAGGTGCATTATATTTTTAAAGCAAGTAGTAACTTAGAAACAAATACTTATCTTCTGTTACCTTTGTACTCTCCAGTACATTGGACACATGATTTTATTATAAAAATAAGGTAATTTTGTTGAGTATATATACACGATGACATAATTGTATCAATATGAAGATAACACACAAAATGTCCATCTCCTGCTTAATTTCTGATTGCATTAAATCATGTATTTCTGTAGGTGCTGTGTTTATATCAGGCGTGAGCAAGAAATGACGATACAACTGCTGGGCACAGATATTGACATGTTATCAGTTTTGGGGAAACAAAATGACTTCCATGATCTATTTGTGGGGAATGCAGAGGACAGTTATATCACTTTAATTAGCTGAAATATCAAATGTGTTGATCATTTTGAAATTTATTGCTATATTTCTAAAATGCAGGTTGCTTACCTAACATGATAAACACTGGATGTTACTGTAATTCATTTATTTATTTGCATATTTATGTCTTAGTGAGGAAAAAGTCCTAGAAGGTCTTCAAAAAGAGAATATATTTCAGCAGAGAGGCAAACGTAATACATTTTTATCACCGAAAGCAGATCTAGGCACAGAACTGGGTCTTGAAGCTGTTTCCCACAGCCCTCTGCGGCCAGGGATGGCCTCTAGGAGGACCAGCCTCAGGGAGGTGCAGGGTGCCTCAAGAGCACCCCTGCACAATCCAACAGCCAGGAACAAAATGAGAGTCAATGAACAAAATGGAAAATAACTTTCCCAGACCAGAGAGAAAACACTTGGCATTCCTGAGGAACAGCTGCTTGCTGTTAGAAGTTTATGGTAATAAACTAAACTGGGTGAGCACTTTCTAAGAAGAAATATTTAATTATCCTGCTCACCATTATGAGGAACTTCTGCCACTCTTCAGGTTATTATACAGTAAATAACCATTTTTCTAAAGGACAGAGCTGTTTTAATTATATGACAATGAATGCATAATTACTATGTTTGTTAGGAATGAATCGCAAGACAACAGACTTGATATTACTGCTCTGGTTAGTGCATCTTAATTACTTTTTCATTTATTTTGCATATAAAAGCTATTTGCTAATTGTCTTTGCTGTAAATATGCAAAATATAATTAGTCATTCATAATTCTTTATGTGTTATCTAACTGTACATTTGTTTCTAAGGAACATATATTAAAGTGTGAATATTTAATGGGCTTTTTTGTGTGAATTCTTTTTTTTTAGACAAAGTTTTAAGTAAATATTAGGCACGTAAAAGTTTTAACTCTATTCTTAGAGGAAACTTGTGCTGTGAAACAAATGGAGACCAAAAAATACAGAGTTATGGATTGAATGCCAGACTATGTGGAATTTAAACATTTTTTCACATGAAGACACTGATGATGATGGGAAGTATTCTTTACTAAGCCTTTAAATTAACCTTTTAGCTACTCACCCAAGCTACTCAGATAAATCTTTAAGCATTACAAATTTTAACTTAAGTTTTACATATTTGTGAGGCTACTTACCATAAGAAGAGAAGAAATCCGTGATTGTGCTGAAACATGCCTCTTTTTTTTTTTTTTTTTTTTTTTTTTTGAGACAGTCTTGCTCTGTCACTCAGGCTGGAGTGCAGTGGCATGATCTTGGCTCACTGCAACTTCTGCCTCCTGGGTTCAAGCAATTCTCCTGCCTCAGCCTCCTGAGTAGCTGGGACTACAGGTGGATGCCACCAAACCCAGCTGATTTTTCGTATTTTTAGAAGAGATGAGGTTTCGCCATGTTAGCCAGGATGGTCTCAATCTCCTGACCTCGTGATCCACCCACCTCAGCCTCCCAAAGTGCTGGGATTACAGGCGTGAGCCACCGCGCCTGGCTGAAACATGCATTTTTAAGTGCTCCAAGTAACTTGCTTATATCTGCTTAAAACACTGGGCAAACACTCTTGAAACTCTAAAATCTTAATTATGAGTACTATATTAAATTGATGTAATTGGCAGTATTTGAGAAGGTTATTTTTAAAAGCTTGTCAGTGACTATAATGAGGGTGTCATGAGGTAAACCTACCATGAGGTTTCTTGCAGACTTACTGCCATCTCAAAACTGAACCACACTGGCTGGCTACTTTCTCAGTCTTAGAGTGAAATTTTTCTTCCTTTTTTTTTTTTTTTTAATTATCTG